GTAGTATTGATCACATTATTTGGCATATTTTACCTATTGATTTATTAATTAAATATGTTATAGATTTGCTTTATTTTAAAAAGATTTATTTAATATTTTAGATTTATTTATTGATCAAGAAAAATGTATTCAAAAGAAAAATAAAAGAAGAATGAACCCATTACTAATGCACTTTAGGTAAAGTATAAGAATATGATGAAGTTTGTTGATATGAACGCTTAGATGATTAGTGATAAATTTGCAAAATAGTCTAGTCACGACTATAAAAAAAACAGGTGAAAGTAGTAAGAAAAGGGCTAAGAAGATTATAAAAGCACATGTTGAGAATACTTTGCAATATATGGTATAGGAGAAGAATACAAGACTTTATTATAGGGTGATAAGACAATATTTTATGTGTGATGATTTTGGGTATAGAATGACAGAATGTTCGTTGCCTAGAAATGTGCAAGGACATGTTGAAATTGGAAGTAGACAGTTAGAACTAGTGAAAGAGCATTCTAAAGTGCTTGATGATATGATTGGTATATTTTATTTTATTTTTACATGTTAACATTTCCAATGAAATTTTATAATTAATTTTGATGTGATTTTATATATAGATTTTTAATTTTTGAACTGATTTGATTTGAAATATTATATATTTGGGTTTATTTTAAGCATACTCTCTTAGAATGGTATAAAAATATCAAGGATAATATATTTTTATGGTGGAGAGATTGTAATGACATAAAATTTAAAGTGAATTTATTTAAAAAAAATATAAAAATATAATTCAACAAGTAGCACTACAGCATTGGGTTGGTAAGCACAACGATACTGATGGCACTACAATACAAGAAAATGACATCGCAGCATTGAAGGATCTATTTTACATTAACTCATTGGGTAGCATGCAATGTTGCGGTGTTGTATCGTGTGCACCAAGGAAGTAGTCACATCCAGGTATCTGAAGTAGAGGAATTTCTTCTCTTATTATCTTTTAATTTATTTAGTTCTTTCTTATATTTTTCTATAATAACTAATAGTTATTTACAACCAAATCCATTTAACATCCATAGATGATCAATCATATTAAATAAATTCAAATAAATATAATTCATATTTATATAGTCAGTATTTACATTCTGTCTCTAAAGTCCAAAATAATATATATAATAGCCATAGTGGCTATAAAAGAATACATATAACTGTAAAACATAAAATAAAACTAAAACACATTACTGCCTAGCCTCATGCTATAGGGCCCTTACCTTTACCTAAAATCATATAAAACTATGTAATGAGCAAGAAAGCTCTACAAATAGCTAAAATCTTACAACTAAAATAAATACAAGGAAAAAAAGGAATAATATGTTATAAATTCTTTAAGGAAATCAATGCATTAATATAAGCTATATGTACTGATCACATGTGTCAATTGATCATTTTTATTATATATCACATCTCATTATATTGATCAATCAATCATTTTATCTTTATCTTTCAATCAATTTTATTTAGTCATATCATTCAATCATTCTCATTAGTCTAGTAGTTATATAATTATCCAATAGCATCAATATCTATTTCAATAACTGTAAGTAGTAACAAAATTATTGTCTATAAGGTTAAGGTCCGTATAATATCAGTAACAGTAGTTAGTATCAGTATCTGTAATAAGTATCAATAAAAGTAATTAGTATCAGTAATCAATAATCACTATTATATCAAATATTTATATGAGGATACCTTATATCTTGCTTCTACCCTTATGACCCCAGATTAGTTGCCTCTTTTGACTCCCAATCAGTGTACTCTTTATTACTCCTTTTTAATCATGCTGATCAATCACTACAACTCTTTATAACTCATAATTAGTCTCCATCTTCTTATGACTCGTTCCGTAAATTAATAAATATTGAGATTATCATATGGGGTTGTTTGATCGAAAAATATAGTTTTGAAAAAGTATTAATTTTCTTTGGGAAAGTTAAAAAGTTGAATTTTAGTTTTGGAATCGAACACGACATTAAGAACGATATACCATCTCAAAAGGAGAGAATATCATTCACTAATTAGTTCAGATTACAAAACTTTAACTTTATCCTTACTACGTAGTCAAACTCAAGAAAGAATCACATTTGACCCCAAAGGATCAAAATGGAATTTAATCGAGTGTTTGACTATGCTAATATGGATTAAAGATCATTAATTTCTTAATCAAAACCACTATATAAGCTTTCTCCAAAGACTTAGTAAGTGTATTTGACATGCATAGAGTTATTTTTCTTCTAGAGAAAATATAATGAGAGTGCCTTGAAAGGTAGAGAGGAAAGGGTGGAGTTTGATAGGGAGAAGATCCTTGTGGTTCAAGGGAGTGTTGAGGGGGTTTCACATAGTTGCTCCGACAAGCTTGCACCTTAGTACCATCATAATTAAGATTTATCTTGAGGGAAGTTTTGGAAAAAAAAAGAAGTTCTCTTTGGTGAGGTGAAAGTGATTTTATAAGGACTTCTCCGCCTAATTGTGGGGGTTAAAAGAGAGTCACTAAGGTTTAATGTAATACTTGGAGTGGGAGGTTCTGGTTAGTGGACGTAGGTCAGGTTGATTTAACCACTATAATTTTGGTGTGTTCATTCTGATTGTTTTTTATACTTTATTATTTTTTTGCAATTCTATGTGTGGTTGAAAACTCTGATTTATTTTTTTATTGTGAAATTTTCTTATTTTCATATTCGTTGTATCGCTTATTGTGTGTGGATTTGAAAAGTTTTTAAGGAATTTCTTATTCCCTAAAGAAGTTTTTAAATACCCAATTCACCCCCACAACCTTCATGGACTTTCAGAAAGCGGAACCCATGATTGATGTTCCCCCTTCATTTCTTTTATCTTATTTCCTACCATATGTAATTGCAAATATATCTAAAGAATTGAAAGAAGAAATTTTTGCTTACTCACTTTCTTATTTATATGTATATACTCGTTTGTCATGCATATTGATGTAGTAGTATACAATTATTTTCTAAACATCTCTAGGTTTTAACTCAAGTTTCTTATAAGAATGGACAATGTTTGGTAACAGACATAACAACACACACTAAATTGTGGTCGAGGATTTAATGAACGAAGGATGTTATGTGACACTGATACTCGACTACTCTATGAATGAATTTCTTAAAGTGGGGAAAAGAGTAAAGATGGAGAGCAAGTGAAAAGTTATAATGTCTCTATGAATAGTACAGTTAACATGTAGTCTAAAATATACCTCTTCACCCCATTTTTATAAAGTTAGGAGGGCTACATGAAAGGCTACATCCAGAATAAAATGAAAATAGAATACATTATGTGACAAGTATAAGCCGATGCAGACACGTGAACTGGGCTGGGTGGTGTATACATGGCTCTCTACCTATGATGTGACCCTTTGGCATGTTTGTTAGGCGAGTCTGCAATGGCGAATGCTTTGGGCGACTCTATGAGAAGTAAGGCAAGTATATGAAAGCGTGTCTCTAGGAATGAATGGGGAATTCTTAGGGGGCAAATGGCTAGTCCATGGTTGTGAGTCAAGGATGAGTTCGCTCAATGATGTCGTGGCAAAAGCTCAATTTTATTAACATGGAAAGGAGTTACAACAATAAGAAAAAGATGTCACATGTGTGGTATACTATTAGCCAAAAAAAATAAAAAATAAAAAACCTAAAAAAGGACTAAAAAACAAGTATTCCTAAACAAAAGGAGCATAGAAAAAATAAAGACAAATAGAAAGGAAAGCAGGTAAGACTTTCAGGGTCATGCTTGTTGAGTAATCTTACGAACAAAATAATACAATTTGCTCCTTATAATAAAAAGATTTATATTTACAAAAAATAATAATTTATCTATCAGTGCACAAAATAGAGAGAAAATATATTTAAATATTTCTGCAACAACCTCCTTTACTGCCATCAATTTGCATTAGTTAGGCGTCCTAATCAGGACCGGATCACTTGTTTCTTAATATTTAAAGTAGCCTCACCTGAAATTTTAATAACGTTTTTGAGGTGGAAACTTTGTCAGACATTTTATTGTCACGTGCGAATAGGAATTTTAGACTTTTTTTTTTGGAATTATATTTTAGATAATCCTTTATCACCAGTGCTAAATGGAGAAAATTAATAAAGAAAAAAATAACTATCAGAATATAAGATGAATTTTAAATTATTTTAAAATAAATATAATAAAATTAATATTTATTTTAAAATAAATTTCAAAAAAATTAAATATATCTTAATGAAATATTTTGACATAATTTGTTATTATTAATAAAATATAAAAATGGTATTTTTTACTCTAATTAAATCTAAATCATATCATAATAATCTAACACTTTCATTTAGCCCAAATTGAGATTAAAATGAATATTTTTATACCGATTAACTTTAAATCATGAAAGGATCAATCATAATTCATAGCCCTAATTGAGTATTTAGTATTTACCAAACCATACGACATAAAATTTCATGAAAAATAAATAATTATAGAAATTAGGCAAGCAATGCATGTCAAAATTTGAAGTTCCTCTAAATAGTACAACAACCATAATATTAATGGCACTTTAGTGCCACCACCCTTACTGTTGCAAAAAGTCAATTGCAAATTTCTTCGAAGTTCATTTACATGACAGTTGCCTTCATTTTTACAGAATAATTAACTAGAAATTACTCATAATGCTCTTTATAAAGATGGATTAAGCTTATTATACACAAAGGGAATGGGTCTCAAAGGACTTCAAAGATCATAGTAAAAAACAAACAAAAGCACAACCCAACTTAGCACATCTTATCAAACCAAAAAAACAGAAGGGAGATTCAGGGTTCGTTTGGTAAAGCTGATTTTAAAAGCGGTAAAAAAGTCGTCCCAAACGAAGCCTCATTTGAAGCCAAGTTTGCTCATGCCATTGCTTCTCAGATCACTGATACACTAATGTTTAAACGCAACACAAAGGATGAACGTAACTAGAGATTAACAGGAACACATTCTAACTGAGACAGAAAACCTTCATATCAAATCTTAAGTACATTAAAGATCAATTGTCACTGAAAAATATCATGAGAATTACAAGAAAAACACTTCGTGCTCCTCATAAATGCAAATAGCCTGATCTCAAATGTACACTTCTAACCTGATCTCAAATGCTTATTCTTGGAAGTGGTTGGTAAACTGACAACAGCCCAATTTTTTTACATATATTACCAACTCAATCAGTAGAGAAATGAAAGAGAAATGAAGAAACAAGCTAATACCATCAATGCTTTTATTTTTCAAATATTACTGTCAAGAACTCCCTGAAGGAGATGTAATCCTTCCAAAGAAATGCTTCTCCGAATGCCGGATTTGGGGATCTCGATGCGCGGTGGTGGGTTCGGCGAGAAGCAGACAACAACGGCTGTAAGATTATCACAAGTATTTCTTTTGAGTGCCTCTACAACAAGCTGTCTTGAACATCTCTCAGGATCATTATGTGCCATCAGCTCTTTTCGAACAATGGAAACTGCAAATTGACTGCTCATTACATCCCAAAGGCCATCGCAGCCCATTATCAAGAATTCGTCTTCCTCAGTTAAGATGGTTTCCTGAAGCTCTGGCTCTGCGCTCAAGGGGCAGGAAGAGCCTTTTTGACCCTTCATATGCCAATCTCCAAGGGCTCTAGATACAGAAAGTTGGCCATTTAGATAACCATCACAAACGATTCCACCAAGTTTTTCTATTCTAAGCCTTTCAAATTTAGAATTGGGCTTGTGGTCTCTGGAAAGTTCGACAGCTCTTCCACGCTTGCCTAAGACGGCACGGCAATCTCCAGCATTGGCAATAAGCATGGTTCTACATGCAGGAGGATTTGTAAGAGCAAGAAGAAGCCATCTTCAAGATGAAATGACATGAGCTAAGTTTGGGTACTTTATATAATCTTACATAGGCTTCCATTGGGATGGCTTTTTTACTGCTTCTTAAAACAGTTTTTTAGTATTGCTTTAAGAAGCAGTAAAAAAGCCATCCCAAACGAAGCCATAGTTAACACCTTGAAAGCCTAGCTGGTGGTCTTCAACAAAACCTACCATTATCCAACTATTTGGGGCTCATTCTATGAATTCTTTTCGCCATTAATTTGGCTTCAAAAAAGCCATATGAAGGTTATGATCAAGTCCTGTCATGTTCCTGAGCACAGTATGCTTTGGAATAAAGCAAATAACTACAGTTGAAGGATATAATTTAATAACTACTGTTGAATTGAATAAAATGTTGATGTAAGAGAGCTTATATATATGCAATAGAAAAGAGTGATAAAGCAAAATATAGTAAATAAAAATAACCCCACTACTGAGGATCCATTACAATAACAAAATCTATTAATTCCTTCTATAAATATTAGCCGCATGCCCTATTATTTACATGACAATAACTAATTCCAATAACTCTTAACAATCAAGGCATACTAGAATTATCAATTTCTCAGGTTAAAAAAAAGGAAAAGGCAGTAGATGTTATTGATAGATCAAACCTTCCAAATATAAGAGCAGCCAAAACTGTTGTTCCAGAGGAGCAATCTAGATAAGGTGAATCAGCAAATGCATGATCAGTCATCACAAATGCACTTTTCATGGCCTTTTCCACCGAGTTAGGGAAGTTCTGATCCTGAATAATGAAGTTGAGCAGGTTGCTGCGAACAAAAGAAGCTGCATCTGCACCGCCATGACCATCAAATACCTATGCAAATTAATCTCTTGTTAAATGCGCTTCTATTTGCGTCAGTCACTCATGATATTAAATAAACATGGAAAATTTGTGTTATCAAATGTAAAGATTAGAAGAGCCTGCAATGGGATTTGATGCTTAAGTTTTCAAGTTTGTATCATGGAAATGCTACGCAACGATATAAATATGGAAGATTTACATACATACCACATAATTCTTATGTATTTACACATCTTAACACGTAATTTTTTATATTTATCTATATAAAACTTTAAATTCTAAATCACATAAAAAATAACAATAAGAATAATTTATCTAAAATGAAGTACTCATTTTCATGCATATTTATTGATGTGATTTAGAACCTAAAAAGTTAAATATATAAATTTTAATGTTAGGTGTAAAAATACATAAGAATTATGTAGCATGTACGTAAATCCCCTAAATTTTGATAGTTAATAATCGCATATGGTGAAATAAATTCTTCAAAACATAAATCTTTAAAGCAATATAAAAATTGCGACGCACCCCATAGAAAGCACCAGGTGCTGGAAGATCAGTACCAATTCCAAGATGACTAAGTATGTCATCTATGCAAATATGTTCATCTTCCATGTAACGCTTTGGCCCAATATCTGAGTAGCTTCCTGACCGAAAAACCGGCAGGAATCCATGCTGCTCGCCCAATGACGGAGCCAAGTTTAGAGGCCTCAGATCTGAATCCTACAAGAAAAAACAAATCAAAATTAACACAGAAAAATCAGTCATACGTACAATTCAACAAACTGAACAGAGTAAATTCCCATGTAAACCAAGCAATCAGAATTCCAAGAGGAGAAAACTAGAGCTGTCATACTTGTTCAGAAGAATCCACCAATCGGGCTGTGCTTGCACAATGCCGAATGACCGAAAGGTGCCGAGGAGGTTTCGCATCATTCATCTGCTCCATTCCCTTCGTAGACCCAGGCTCCTCGCCAAACATAGAAGAACCGATTTCCTTACGCCCATACCTGCCTTGAAACATAACCAAAGGATGTGAGAAGTCAGCCCCATCGGTCATCTTCAACCCCTAATCATGAATACCAACCACCTCCAAACAAAATAGACCTAAAAATTTTTAATCAAATCTTCAACTTCACCAAATCAATTTCCTCAATAACTCCTCTCCCTTTATTTAAGCACTCAAGAGAATAATTAAATCCAGAAATCATATCCAATAGTTACGCATTAGAAAAAAAACCTATGATGCCTTCCTCGAAAGCTCCAGCGACTACAAGTTGCAGAGATTTATGTGATTTTCATTATAAAAAAGAATACAAAAAGAGATCTTGATGAGAAAAAACAAAGATTCTGCGTCATAAAACCAGACATAGAGATTAATGAACAGAACAAAAGAAAAAACTAAACAAACCCTAAAATCATTTCAGAAGAAATAGTTAAAAAGCTCACAAATTTCAAATTAGGTTGGGATGATGGCTACACTTACCTGATCTTTCGTTTTCGAAACCCTTATTTTTTAACAATTGAGCAGATGAATAAAAAAAATCACCAAAAGCGTCGAGCGATAGGAACGAGAAAAGGCCACAGCTTTAGATAGCGTAGACGGAGATCAGTCATTCCTTCGTTTTATATAGGAAAATATTCAGCATATGTTTATTGTGCTAATTTTTAATACTAATTGGTAGATTTACTGTGATGTGATTATTCTTAAGAGGAATTTAAATTCATATAACAAAATAATATTAATTTATATATCTAACACTTTAATATAAATCATTAAATAATATAACTTATACGTCCTCAAAAAATGCCTTGATCAAACATGAATCTCTAGGCATATCCAAGTTGGAAACTTTCAAAATTAAATTTGGGATCATCTGAATTTCAATTTCAGCAAACTTATAGTCAAATTGAACATCTCAAAGAGACGAACCAAACAACACCAAAATTGGTCCAACCCAAGCCCAAATGGGTCCGAATCGGAGGCCCAGACCACATTAGGAAGGGTTAAAGCATTATTTGGATGATGAAACAATATCCAAATATGGCATGCTTAAAGTCAAATCGAGCGTCTCGGCGAGACGAATCCAACGAGCCCAAGATCTCCGAATTCCGATATTGTTAAGGCACCTAAACAGTTGAAAAACTCTCTACGATCGAAGGAATCAATGTGAGCCATACGATAGAGCACTTTGAACCTGCCCTAAATCTTCTCTAGATTTACGGGGTGTGCCAGTCATGAAAATCTATAAATAGACCTCCACTCTCTGCATTATGGGGACCTTGTCTGGAGATTAGGGAGAGCTCTGAAGCTTCAAGAGCTTTAGCACCACCGCCTGGCCGCCGACTGCCTTCGCCGGACCATTGCCCGGCCGCCAACCGCTGCCGAACTTTAGCCCAACCTACGTCGGACCACCGCCCGGCTGCCGACCACCTCCCAGCCACTGATAGCCGCCGGACTTCAACTCGACCTTCATCGGACCACCGCTCGGCCTCCGACTGCCGTCGGACTTCAGCATGGCCGCCTATCGCCGTCGGACTTCAGCCTGACCTT